AAAAAAGGGGACATATGTAATACTTTCAACAATAAAGAATTATTTAAAATATAAATAAATAGCCCTGGCCAGTTTGGCTCAGTGGATAGAGCGTCAGCCTGTGGACTGAAGGGTCCCGGGTTCAGTTTGGGTCAAGGGCACATGCCTGGGTTGCAGGCTTGATCCCCAGTAGGGGGCGTGCAGGAGGCAGCCGATCCATGATTCTCTCTCATCATTGATGTTTCTATCCCTCTCTCCCTCTCCTTTCCTCTCTGAAATCAATAAAAATTACATATATATTTTAAAAAATAATAACATAAAATAAAAATAAATAAATAATATAAAAATACCCAAAAAAAGAGGTATACCTCTTCCCTACAAAGCCCAAGTGCTCCTCAGGCTGTCTTTGTTAGACATGAAATGGCATGGTGTTCGCTAAGCTGAAGGGTTACATTAAATATTAACTGTTCTTTCTCATCAATATTTCACTCTAGTTGCAAACCAGGATGGGATGAGGCCGGACAGCTGGCAAGGCCGCGTGATATTTTGCATCGTGAGGAAGGTATACCTCTTCCCTACAAAGCCCAAGTGCTCCTCAGGCTGTCTTTGTTAGACATGAAATGGCATGGTGTTCGCTAAGCTGAAGGGTTACATTAAATATTAACTGTTCTTTCTCATCAATATTTCACTCTAGTTGCAAACCAGGATGGGATGAGGCCGGACAGCTGGCAAGGCCGCGTGATATTTTGCATCGTGAGGACAAAGGCAACCCCCTCTAATTTCTGAATAATAATGTCGTCAGCACTGAGGTCAGAACCCACACGGAGAGAACAGCCCGTGGACCGACATGGTTCAGGGCTCACAGCTCTCCTACGCGAAGACCAAATTCAGCTTCACTTAAGAAAAAGTCTTGCATGGTTTTATTGACCAATGTCACCCCAATAAATTCAATTTTTAAAAAAGTCTTGTTCCTTGCACAGTTTAAAATGCGAAGACTGTCAATAAAACAATGAACGTTAAAACCTTTTTTTTAATTTCAGAAAAACTGTGAGAGTCTTCACATGAACAGATGCCATGAGGAGTGCGAGGACAGGAGCCGCAGAGAAAGGTGTGTGAATGTCACCACATCCCAGTGGGCGTGTGCGTCCCGGTCGGCGTGTGCGTCCCCGTAGGCGTGTGCGCTGGGACGGTCCTGCTGGCCTGGGGCCTGGGACAGCCGCCTCCCAGCCCGGAGCCAGGCACTCCCAGGATTAACTCTCTGACCCACGATTAGATGGAGGGATGGCCTGGGCACTCAACTTTCACTCCCCCCAAACTTCCCGGAAGTGCACTGAAGGTTTTGCTTTGCTTTGTTTTTGGAGATTGCAAACCACAAGCTACAGGAGGAGGAGGAGTTGGGAGACAAGAGCAGAGGCTGAAGGCCAGGAAGTTGCCTTGGCAACACTGGCTGCAGGGAAGCCCCGAGGCAACTGGATTTATGCCAGCCCCACCCCAAGGCCAGGGGCAGCAGCCCTGGTGCAGCCAGGGCACCTGCAGCCGGCTAGAGGACTTCTCTTTATTTAAGAAGACTTAGCCCGGCCGGCTGGCTCAGTGGTTGAATGTCGGCCTGTGAACCAGGAGGTCACGGTTTGATTCCGTGGTCAGGGCACATGCCCGGGGTTGTGAGCTCGACCCCCAGTGTGGGGCCTGCAGGAGGCAGCTGATCCATGATCCTCTCTCATCATTGATGTTTCTCTCTCTCTTTCCCTCCCCCTTCCTCTCTGAGATTAATAAAAATATTTTTAAAAAAATAAATAAAACGTTTTTAAAAAAGAAGACTTAATGGCTAAAACATGCAGTGCTTGAGTCTTTTGAGAGAGCTGCACAACGCACAGGTACCCGCCGGATTTCCTTAGGTGCACGTGGTGTCATTGGACGCCTTGTTCCATCCAGAAACCTGAGAGGCCCCTTCCTCCCGGATCTGACAGAGCACGCCTTCTGGGCCGTCCTCGGGTCCCATCCACCTCTGCCCGCCCACACGGCCCATCTCCCCGGGTGTCGCCTGCCTTACCTGGGGAGCAGCCTGGGACACGCTTATCCGCAGCCCTTCCTCCCCCGAGGGCTGTGCTCAGGGCCCAGGCCCGGGCCCCCACAGTCTCCCTCCCGGGAGGCAGGAGCGTGTGAGGACAGGGCGGCAGAGCCAGTGACGGCGTCGGGT